GCTCGTATCTACAAGCAGAAATATAACCATTTTCACCTTACTCACAGGGGTCTTACCCAATGCCACTGTTAAACTGACCTCCCCCATAGATTGGACTTCATTCCCACTAAAATCGTACAAGCTTGTATGCACCGGTTCCGCTTTTACCTCTAAGTCCATCTGCTGCAGGCAGCTCCAAAAGATGATATCTACTGAGCTTCTTGTGCCTATAAGGACTTTTTGAACATCGTAATTGGCCACCTCGGCGGCGATCACGAGAGCTTCATTATGTGGAACAACAATCCCCTGTACATCCTGCGCGCCAAAGCTCAGAATGGTCGAACTCGCCTGTACCTTGACCTCAGCCACCTCGTCAGTAACATCCTTTCCTCTATATGTTCTTTTCCACTTTCGATGGGAGTTCCCATCAGTCGATCCCCCGAATCATGTGTATTACACCCTTTTTCACTGGTATGTCTGACTATTTCTCCGTCCTTTTTCGCTTATCACCTAACTCACGCCTCTCTGAGCGCTTCTCATGGCGTTCTTTGTCTTTTATCACAAACTCCTTCAAATTCCCAATCCTGATGAGCCGCTCAATCTCGTCCTTTAACTCCTGGCAAAAGTTAGTGGTATGGTTGTAATCACGGTGATATTGGCTGTATCTATCTTTCTCTACTGAGAATTTTCGAGGCCGAGGCAAAGGCTTAGGCGGCGCGAGTAATATAGTCCTTCTTTTCTGCTCCATATCTTTTAAAATCTTCTGTTGCTGAGCGTTCAAAGGCTTGTAGGGCTCGTACCTTGGCCCCCTGAAGCGATCATCGACCTTAGCCTCATTTTGGGAAGCTCGACGCTCGGACTGATGAGGCTTTTCTTCCGCCTGCTTCGCTTTTCCTTTATCATTCTGAAGGAAGTCCGTCTTGGCTTCATCCATATTAACATATTTATTGCACCTTTCTAAGAGCTTGTCGAATAACCTTGTCGAACGTTTCGCTTAAGAATCTCTGCACTTCCCCGGTCACAAGCCGAGCGTAAGTCCTCCGGCCTTTATCTCTTTTGAAGCAATAGGAACCTCCACACATTCTTTAGCATACCGCACCACATATTGTCGCAGAGTTTCACCCTTCTTTTGTTGCATGTTGATTAGCGACAAATACCTCTTTTTGTGTTTCCTTCCACTTACAAATTGATTTAAAATTAGAGAACTGAATTTCTCGAAGCTATCAATAGAACAAGGTTGCAGTTGGTGGAACAATCCTGCGCCGAGCCTTTCAAGGTAGTAAGAAAAGCCCGACAACTGACAGTGTCGCTATACCGATGCAAGACAGCTATGTTGTCAAATGACCTCAAATGCCTAGCTGAATCTGCTGACCCATCATATGATAGGCTCAACTCCCTGGTTACTCGGCAAGTCTCCTCCTAGAACATCCTCCACAAAGGGGTGGCCACGAGACCCCACCGTCCTCTTTCCCTGCGCCCGGGCCTACAGCCAGCGTATTTGCTCGGCTAACCTTTCTAGAGTTAATCCTTCCTGTTGCACTGCCACCAAGGGTCGAGAGGTTATCAACCTATCGTCATCCTCTTCCCCCTTTTCTCGTCGTTGATTTTGATGCAGATGCAGGGACAATTGTTGATTCATGGGTTGCCTAAGTGAGTCATTAGCTCTTCGGTCAACTTCTTGAGCCCGGCCTATCGCTTCGGCGATAATTCTATCAAGCTCTGCCCTAGTTAGTCGGACCATATGATTTCCTCTTGCCGCCAAAGGAGGATTTTCTGGGAGA